ATATGTAGAACATTTAAATATTACGGAGTTCAGTTTAATTTAGGTCAATTTTATTACAGACGTAAATGTTTTTTACTGCCACACAATGGAATTGAATGTTTTTTGGAACTTATTTATTTGTTAGTTTTTTTGACAATTCTGTGTTTTTGTTGCGTTTTGAGTTTTAGTAATTTTATTTTTTATTTATTTTTATTTTATTTATTTTATTTTTGTACTTTGTACTTAAACTAAACAAATTAAAATTAGAAGTGTTGCTTAGGAACTAGTTGAACGAATAAACTAAATTATGAATTTTGTTTTTATAATTTTAAATTATTTAAATACTGAGTTCAACTTAACGGAAATTTGAAATATTTATAACAGACTGAAATATTTTTCCTCAGTAGAATAGAATAGAATAGAACTATATATAACTATAATATGAATCATTTTGGCCACTATTTGTTTATTCATTTATTTGTTTATTTTTAACATATTTATTTAAAATCTAATTAAAAATGTGTTAATATTCTCAATTAGATTTCCATTTTTATATTTTCTGTTTTTATTTCAATTTTAAAGTTGTTATAATTTTGTCGTGTTTTGTCATTTTTATTTTTATTTTATTTCTATATAATTTTTTTTTTTTTTTTTTTTTTTTAGATTTAGTTTTTTAGTTATAACTACTAACATAGGACATCTTCTACAGACATGCTGGATCACATCAATCACCAGCCATTTCTCAATGTCAACATTCAAAACAAGCTCACAATGATGGCGCGCTCCAGTCAATCCACAGCAGCTGACCTTGTGAGGCCTTCAAACAACCGCTTGGTCCTTATGCTTGCTTTAAAATGGCGCCTCTTCTGCAGTGAAGAGCCTGTAGAGCCGGGAGCACGACCCTGACCATGACTTCCAGCTGACAGCTCGGCAACTGCTGGTGACAGACTTAAATGCTTAAGATCCTACTTCTAGTCCTCTCAACAGCTTGCTTTCAAAACAAGCAGCGATCAGACACTACATTTAAGTCCTCACTTCCAAGACAGGCTGAACAGCTGAGATGTACTTGGATTTTTGATAAAAGAGATAATTAGCACCCAAGAAATGGTCATTTGGAGTTTTTTAGTAGGCCTACCAGAATAAAAAAAACGTTGCCTTGGCATCTAGCCGAATAAAATAACTTTATAACTTTTTAGCATTAGTGACTGATTATGTGTAGTTCACTGCTGTGGTGGATGTGTGCTTGTATTCTGTCACTAACAGCACACAGATGATATTACGTGTCCCCATCGTTTTCTCAGTGTTTTGGGTGAGTAATGCCAGCGAGGGTGTGATGTGATGGCTTTGAGTGCATCTGCTTTCCAAACAAGCCAAGCGTGTGTTTTCTACATCACGAGGTGGATTATTATTCCTGAAGTGTGACTTCTCTCCGTATTGTTCTGCTTGAGAGAGGATTACGGGAGAAACGTGAGCGCTGGAGGGAATCTGCATGAAGCCTGGAAGGATCTTCTGTCTTTGGCCGGAGAACACGGTCAGCAGTTACGCAAGCTGATTATCATTTCATTGGACAGACTTCAAACTAGTTTCTTTCCATTTACTGACATGCATTATTTAAGCTGCAGGTTGCAAGAAAGAACATTTCTACTGCTGATTATCTCTTGAAATTATTCAAGACATTTTCCTCAAGTACTAACCATTTGTATACCATTGTAGCTTTTATTAATATTTTGATTATAGATTTTATTTTGATTATTAGTTTCATTTTTTGTAATTTTGTTATGTGCTTTTGTCATTTTTATACTTTTTTTTAATATTACTGTTTAGGTTTATTTTATTTTTATTTCAGTTTTACTTCAGTTTTAGTTTTTATTTATTTCCATTTAGTAATTTTAGTGCTTCAAGTTTAAACTTATTTCAGTTAGTTGCTAAGCCAACATTATTAATTTGTTGTTTAGTTTAGGTTTTTCATTTAATTTTTATATTGTATTTTTTTTATTTTTGTAATTTTAGTTTTTTTTTTTTATAAATTTGTTTTAAAATTATTTTTAATTACATATTTATTTTTGTTGCTCAGTTGTAGTTTTAGTCTTTTTTTAGTTGAGGTTTATTTTTTTCAGTTAGTTTATTTATTTTTTTATTTTCATATTTTTAGTTTTCATTTCACTTAGTTTAATTAATTACTTAAATGTTTTAGTAATTTTGTTGTGTTGGTTTTATTATTTTTTATATTATTATTTAGATTTAATGGATTTTCAATGGATTTTTATTCCACTTTGAGTTTTAGTTTTTATTTCCATTTAGTGCTTTTTTTAGTTACCATTTTATTTTTTATTTTTTCCCCATTTTTTTCTCTTTCAGTTCATTCACAGCCAAATTTAGCTTGCTAGTTGCATTTATCTTCAGCCCGAGGTATGTGTAGTTTGTGGCATTTTCAATTTTGGTCACACCAAGAGTGAAGTTATGTCTCTTTCTCTTTCCTCTCCCTCGCTCTCTCTCTCTCTCTCTCTCTCTGTAGTTTCTGACTGAACTCACTCGGCTGTTCCAGAAGTGCAGGACCACTGGCAGCGTCGTCATCACTTTAAAGAAATGTATGTTCATCTGAGTTATTAGATTCATCTTATTCAGTGTGCAATAAATGTTTCTCGCTATGTTTCAATTTATCAGTTCTGAGATAATGCCAGTGCTATTTTAGTATTGTGATTACAATTTTTTTAAATGTATATTTATATTTTAGAATATTTTAAGTGTTAATATTTTAAAATGATTCAAATATTCATATAGTAAAATAAAAATACTTAATAAATTTTTTTAAATATTTTTTCTTTTTTTAAAATATTTACTTTAATATTTTTAAATATATAAAAAACATTTTTTTTCAGTATTTTTATTTTATACTGAAAAAGCTAATTGAACTTAAATTGTAATTTTTTTTTAATATGTTTGAATAAAATATCTATACATTTTTTTTAGCAATGTTTTAATTATTTTGTTGTAATCTGGCTATTTAGGTTTAATTTCTTTTTAGTTTCAGTTTTTCTTATTTCTTTTCATTCAAGTTTTTCATCTAATATTTCTGATTTATTTCAATTATCAACATTGTTTATAGTTTTAATGATAAAACTCTGGCGAATGCATTGACATGTTGAGCTCGTCACTGTTTTGTTGATATATTAAATGATGATTTTCATCTGCAGATGATGGCAGAACAAAGCCGGTCCCCAGAAAAGGCCATCCAGAGACGTACGAACCGGCCGACAACAAATGTCTCATCAGAGCATCAGACGGCAAGACCAAAATCAGCACAGTGGTGAGAAATCAGCATTCAGTCACGTGTGTGTGTGTGT